CTTATCAATGATTTTAATGTCAGGTAAAAAAGGGTTACATTTGCTTTTTCTTACGGTGGCCAACCTGTGCAAACGCGCTACAATTGCCAAAGATCATTTTGATTAGGAAAAACGTGCTACACTTTCAAAAACGATGTAAATACACATATGTGCCAGTACACATGCAAATGAAGAAACATTTTCACCAACTTGACAACACATGCACAGCATTTAGAAAACATTTACCAACTTGACAAAACATGCGGAGCGTTTACTTAAAGCTGCATAAACAAAATGTTGCAAATAAAAAAAGCTCAAGGTCAAAACACAATGGAAACGGGGACACTAATAAGTGATGCACACAGCTGGGACCAGAGGGCTTGTTGGCGTTAGGGGATTATAAAGTTGTCAAACGTTCACTGGAAACTTGCCTAATAAGCTAGTTTTATTGGCCTTTTTTTAACAATGTTTCCTTCCGATATTATGAATTTATTTTCGCCTATTCCACCATTAATGTTTCATCAGGAATCTTGCACAGGAATTTTGTTTATCACTGAAAAAACAGAGCAGACTTGAGGCAGTAATCAAATCAAATCTATTATTCTAATGTAATTCTAAATCTATTATAGGCTTGTAAAAGGATACAGGCACAGTATAAAGTACTTTTATACAAAGGCTCATACTAATGGAATAGTGACAGTGGAGGATAATATTTGCATTTCATTGTTGTCAAATGTCATTGTGATGTAATTTTAACTTTACTTTGCCAAAATATAGATAGATTGTAAAAATATATAAAGATCAAATCAGGTTTTCAATTTACACCTAGATTTCATTTTGCTGTTGAATAACGGATGAACATTGTTTTAGACAAAAAGGAAAATCCAGTTGCTTTATAATACCTCCCCCTTAATACTGTGACATATATTTGACAGCAGTGGCGGCCGGCCCATAGGGGCGCTAGGGGCACCGCCCCCCCTCTTCCCACATTAAAAATAAAAATATATATATTTAAAAAATATATAATTTTTTTTTATTTGTAATAAACAACGTAAATATTATATAATTGGTATCATTAAAATGTATAATCTACTATAAAATCTCGTTTAAAATTGTGTTACGATGTCTAAAGTTACTGATAAATCACATGTTTCTTGCCTGGCCTTGCCCGTGTATCATTACCCTCTCTCGCAGCGCCCAGACGAGAGTGCAGAAAGTGCAGCAGAAGCCAACTGTTGCTATCTTTAAACTATGCCGCCAAAACATAATTTCAGCCAATCAGCATCGTCAAATCTGATGGTCACAGGGTGCCTACGTCAGCGCCCGGTGCAGTCTGTGAGTTGTTTGGACTCGTATCCAAGGAGACAAAACAGGAAGCTGTCATTCACTCTGGAAGCTATCATTAGCAGCTAATGAAAACTCAGTTTTTGACATAAAAATGGAATTATGGATTATCAATACTTTTTTCAAAGTGACAGACACATTGGATTAATCAATGGATTAACCTTCAGCCGCGTTTCTCGTTTTTGATCAGAATAACAGCAAAAGATGAGCATATCTCTGTGTTTTGCTACCTAAAGCTATACGTTGTGTGATGTCTGTATTTGCTTCCCCTGTCGCGAGTTCTGATCGCTCAGTGATGATACTTATATTTCTAGAATCTGTGGAATCTCAGCTTGTTAGCTAAGCTTGTTTGTGCATATACGATAAGTATATAGATTGATTTATACCTAGAGTGCGTTACCATTTTTTCACTCAGGGCTCATTTAGACGCATCTTGCGAGACTTGTGTTTTGTTTCGGTAAACATGGTTCATATCATCAGTTAGCTGAGTTTCTTCCTGTTAAATGAGCAGGACACATGAATAGTTTATTACATTTTAAGAAGCCCTGAGACACAGTTTTGTGAGAAAAAAAACGGGGGGGAAAAGCCCCTTAACAGGTTAAATGGGAATTAAATCATTTTAAGTCATTTTGAGTGTTCCCAAAGCCCCGGTGTTCTGCAGTTTGTGTGGGCCTACTGTACTGTTGCATAGTTATACTGTAGAAACTATGTCCAGGACAAGGTGTTTGGAAGTTTTGGAAGATTCATAGCTAACCACATTGAAGATTATGGAGATATTGATCAGTCTTTTCATATTTTTAAGCCTCAATTTGTCCTTCCCCCCCCCTCTAACATCACCAGAAGTCATAATTGAAAGGGTCTTTTCTTAATTTTTTTTAACGGGGGGGCATCCCCCCGGACCTCCCTAGTATTGTTTGGTCACCATTTCCACAGCCCCACCTAAAATATTTTCCACCAGCCGCCACTGTTTGACAGTCGTATTATCTATGTGTAGATTCATCAACTGTGTTGAGCACCGGACATGGAAGACCCTCCTCGGGGTCTGGTAGCTCTGCATATGATATACAGAGTCCTTTTGTTGTAAAGGTGCCAACAGCTCCACCTGCGTGTTCCTGCTTCTGTTGGTTCATTACAGGAGGACAATGAGAGCACTTGTCTCCAATAAAAGACACATTAATATCTCCTCTGCTGAGAGCGCTCTGCTGGACTCAGGGATTGTGTGTGAGTGTTTTAGGCACATTTGTTTTGATGTTTCCTAATGTGCAGATGAATGCTTGCTCAATTTACGAGTATTGTCTGTGTACGTGTGGTTTTATTGTTTGCCTCCTTGTATCCAATACTTTTTGTACCTTACAAAAAATGTCATGTATCAAATGCGTTTTTCAACCTTTTATGGCTTCAACTAACAATTGTTTTCATTACCACTTAATCAGTTTTTAATTGTTTTAATGGTTTATCAATAGAATTGCAGAAAAAAGTGAAACATGTCCGTCCCAGTTTCAAATATTTCAAGATGACATCTTGTTTCGACATTTAAAAACCAAAATATCTTCACTTCTAAAAAGGGGTAAATTAATAATATTTGTTCTCAAAGCAATGATACACCTGTGAGTTGGATGTAGAAAAGTCAGAATCAATATAGAATTGTTTTAGTTTAAAGTAAATTCAGATTGAACATAGTAAAAAGATGTAAGCTATAGTGTCCGTCCAACAAAAACAAAATTACTTATAGTGAAAACCACCCTTGAATGATGGGTTAGTAGACTAAAGCTTTAGGAATCCAAACTATAACATATAAGTACCCTGTATCAAGATTGATGCAAAACAAGTTAAATTTGACATTTTTAAGAGAGGTTTAGAAAAAAAGAAAAACACTTCTGGGGTCATTTGGGTGGATTTGCCATATGTTTGGCCCCCCTCGATCGATTTTGATGATTGACACCTCTTTTGAACCGTTAGAGCCAATAGAATTGAGAAGGAAGTTCCTAAATCCACCTACCCATTACCATTGAGGAATTTTTTTAATTTATTTAACCTTTATTTAACCAGATAAAAAGCATTGAAATAAAATCTCATTTGCAATGCTGACCTGGCCAAGAAGGCAGCAACGTTACACATAACACATTTACACAAACATATAAAATGCAGAGAACACAACTAAGAAAACAAAAGACAAAAAAGCAGTCACTACATTGTGCACATTAGGACAGTAAGAAAGGTACACTACTTATTACTGCAAGAGCAGCTGGTGGTAAGGACCTCAGACAACTTCAACTTAAAACATGCTATAGAGACAAGTGCCGTCAGTTTGAGGCGTGATTGAAGGTCATTCCAAGACCAAGGACCATAATAAAAAAGAGTCCTTTTCCCAGCCTCAGTCCGCACAGCAGGAACCTGGAACCGTATCCAGGCACTGGATCTGAGGTTGTAAGAGCCACAAACTGGAGCAAATCTCGCACATATGTGCAGTGGAAGCTTTCCTAAAATAGCTTTATACATTAATAAAAACCAATGCTGCATCCTACGCATACTAAGTGAGGACCATCCAGTTAGGCTATAGAGTTTGCAATGATGAGTCCTATAGGGTACATTTGATATATAACGCAGTGCAGCATGGTAGAGTGGGTCAAGTTTGGCCAAAACAGTGGGACAGGCAAATCTATAAATGGTATCACCGTAGTCCAGCTGGGACAGGAATAAACCAGAGACCAACCTTTTATGGGATGAAGTTGAAAAACAACATTTAAGTCTGTAAAGGAAGCCAAGAGTGAATTTCATGAATGAGAGTGATGCGCACGCAGCTTGCCCAAACCGAAAGCTATGTTACGCTCTGAAAACTGAAAACTGAAAACTAGGTTATAGCCATAAATATGATGATGGATTATCAGTAGGGCTGCTGGATTATGGCAAAAATCATAATCTCGATTATTTGGGTCAATAATTGATATCACGATTATTAAAAACGAATATCCATTTACTTTGAAAACATCCATTTATTGAAGAAAAATATTTGAACAGTATGTTTTGAACAGTTGATTACCCTGAACTGTAAGTATAATTCAACTGAAAAACCAATAAAAAATGTTTTAAATAAATATATATTAAAAAAAAATAAAAAAAATCGTTTTACTTCGATTATGTTGTTTTCATAATCGTTGCAAGCCAAAATCGTAATTGCGATTAAAATGCGATTAATTGAGCAGCCCTAATTATCAGTAATCATTTCAAAAAGGGACAGTGATGATATTTATACCGCTGGAATCTGTGGAATCTCAGCTTTAATCTGATATCTTGTTTGTGCAGATTCGATAAGTAATAAAGTATTTCTACTGTGAGTTCTGTGCTAAGTGCGTTAGCATTTTTTCGCTCAGGGCTAATTCAGAGGCTTGGCATTAGAGTTTCATTTAGCAAAAAGTTGTTAATGTTATCTGATAGCTGAGTTTCTTCCCGTTAAGTGGGTATGACACATTCATAAATGTTAAGAAGCCCTCAGACGCTGTTTCTTGCAAGATGTTGCGTTTTCCCCCGGTATCGGGGGCATGGGGCTTAACTGGTTGAATGGGCAAACATTTAAAAAGTTTTCATATTCCATTATCGATTTCCATGTGGCTAAACATTTGAAACTCTGTATTTTTGTAATAATTCCCACATTTTTCTTTTTTTTAATGTTTCTCCAGACAAAATGCTGCTCCCAGCGAGCGTTCTGATTGGCCTACTGTGCCTGAGCAATGCGGGCGGTGCGTGGGGTTTCGCCCGTCTGCAGGACGACGTGGAGCTACGCTCGGCTTTCTCGGTTGCACGCACCAACAGCATGGAGGGCGGGCCCAAGATGACCGTGACCTTTGACGCAATTTATGTCAACATTGGTGGGGATTTTGACCCCAAGACTGGCTTGTTTCGCTGTCGCATCACCGGGGCCTACTTCTTCTCCTTCACAGTGGGGAAGTTCCCACACAAAGACCTGTCAGTGATGCTGATGAAGAACAGGAATGAGGTGCAGGCCATCGTGTATGAGGAGAACGCCGGCGAGGAGAGGAAGGTAGGTTTGAGATCTCTCAAACACCGCTCATCACTCAATCAGATCGTTTGTGGGTGGGACTAAAGTTCCTTGCAGACTGGCATTGTAGGTACTCAACATTTTTATTTGTCGCAAAAAGTCCAGGAAAAATATCAAAACCAACAGTGAATGTATCTATAGTGTGTGTACATCAAAGGCTGAGATATTTTCTTTCTTTGTTTGACAAAGCTCCATCGTTGTCCAATAACAATTAAAAGCACAACAATAAGCCACACTGTTGCAATGGGTGACATGTTTAATGAACACACAAGCTGTAGTTTACTAAGAACGACTCCCAAATACACCTACTGCCAGAAATACTAATAATGTGGATTCATCCATCGCTGGAACTAGTCCCCAACATACTGTCTGCACTATTTCTCCCAGTTTGGTTAAAAAGAAAACTTGAATGACCAGCTCTTTAAGCACATCTTTCTTTTTGACGAAGAATTAAATATTCATTTCTGACCCATTCTTAAAGATTAACATGGATATCAGGCTAATGATCATTCAACTTCGAACATGCAAGGACTTCTTAAATTGAGGAATAGTTTTAAAGTTCAAGACAAAGGTTTATGTTTTTCTTTAGCTGGATATGCTGGTAGGTGTTATTCTGAACTTTGGACAGCCAGGCTAGCTGTTGTTCCTGCTTCCAGTCCTTGAGCTAAGCTAACTGACGCCATGCTCAATCAAACCTTCTCATCTAAATGCGTTTCTTAAAAATGAATTCTGTGTTATGATTGGTTTTCCCTCCAAGGTAATGATTACAAAAGGTATTTATGTGGAACTCTAATAATAAGGCCTGCTTTAATCCTCAGGTGCAGAGTCAGAGCGTCATGCTGCAGCTGGAGTTTGGTGACACCGTCTGGCTCCGTCTCCATGGTGACCCTCGCTATGCGCTCTACAGCAACACGGGACACTACACCACCTTCAACGGTTACCTCATCTACCCCGACACCTACGACTTCCAGACACACCACCACCATTCTAACTCCAACTCCCAGCAGCCCCAGGAGGAGAACAAGCCCCTGTTGAACAGCAAGCAGGCCACCGAGAACATCAGGTCTGAAACAACAGACGCACCGGTGGTGGTGGAGGAGAAGGAGCAGCAACATCAGGAGGTAGAAGAGGAAGAGTATGACGACGAGGAGGACGACCAGAGATCTGCCTTCTCGGTAGGGCGCACCCAAAGCATTGTGGGAGTCAACCAAGTGGGCCTGCCGCAGCACCAGCCGGTCAGCTTCGACACGGCGTTCGTCAACATCGGGGAAGACTTTAACGTGACAGAGGGGGTGTTCACTTGTCGCGTTCCTGGAGCCTACTACTTCTCCTTCAACGTGGGCAAGATGCCGCAGAAGACGCTGTCCGTCAAGCTGATGAAGAACCACCTGGAGGTGCAGGCGATGATCTATGACGACAGCCAGGGCGAGAAGGCTCTGCAGAGTCAGAGTTTGATGCTGTCGCTGAAACTGGGAGAAATCGTCTGGCTCTACTCCCACCAGAAAGATGGCTTTGGAGCCTACAGCAACCACGCCAAGTACATCACCTTCACTGGCTTCCTGGTATATCCAGACTTACCCAACACTACAACCACCACCGGAGCCAGCCAATCATATGCAGAAAAGAAGCCCTAGCCACAGCATAGGGGCTTGGGACTGAACATTGTGGGGGGAATTCAGTAAGTGGAGAAGTCCGAGTCCACAAAAGGCGTTGGGCAGTTTGTGGGTAGCGTGCCGAATGGAGGAAACTCACAGTTGTCTTTGACGTTTCCTCTTACTAGGAATTTCTTCACAAAATCACGGGGACCTTTGACTGAGTGCAATGCTTAAAAGAAAATCTCTTCAAATTCCAGCTTTTAGCTTCCCAGGATAAGACTTCATCATATTCAAACGTGAAACTTCGAATGACAGTAATGTGAACTCAAATTCAATATTTCACTCTATAATGAAAACTGCGGCATTACCTGTTCACCGCCGTGTCAGCCAAACCACCACAGGGAGATAGATGTTGTACTTCCATGACATTGCAATTCAACAACGCTAAAACTACCCACTGTTAGTTATTCTGTTAGTGGTTTATAATCAATCCAGAAGGGCACTCTTGGAGCGCAGAATTCGACCAAGGGAGTTTTCATAAGTGACAAATAATGCGTATCTACACCCTTGGATTTGGATACCCTCCTAAATTGAATATTTTCTTCCTTGTCCAATGCTGCACCCTTCCACAAAGTTTAATGAAAATTGGGCCTGTAGATTTTCTGGACAAGGTAATGATTTTTGGTACTTGACATTTCCTGGGTTTACATTCAGCATCTCCCATTAAAGTGAAAACTAAATTAAAAGTGTTTTTTTTAAACTAGAAGCCAGGCTCACAACCTGTTAAGGATCAAAGTCACCCTGCCTACTGTACATGTAGGTGAGGAGGTAATCTCAGTCATTTTCATTTTAAAGTAAAAAAAATTCTGTAAGTGCATTTGTAATTCTTGTCAAAGACTTGTTGTTTCTGCTTGTATGTAAAATGTCCCTTTACTTTAGTTCTGTCTTTAGAGGCATGTGAAACTGATACAAGCGTGTGTTTCGTGTCAAAAAGAGTCTTCATTTTATTTATATCAGAGTGTTTCTCGCTCCGATGCTTAGCCACAGCGGGAGCAGAGGAAACCAACCGTTCTGATAAAGCGCAGACTGCATATCCATCCCAACTGTTGACCACATGCCACCTCTGGGCCTGCGGGGATGCGGACCTTAATTTGATTTCTAATTCTAGCAGCAGTTTCATTCATTTCTTCAGATGGCGTCCACTGTGGGGAAAATTGAACAGCTTCTCCGAGGCCACTGTAATATGCATGTCCGTTTAATTTCACACCATCGGGAGAAAGATGAACCTTGACTTTATGAAATCACCTACTCTGTTGGAGAGGCACCGTGTGAAGTGATACTTTGCTGTAATTGAACATTTACATTTTTCTTAAAAAGGTAGTTTTCTGTGAAGTGAAGTTATGCTATAAATGATGGGCTTGACACACTAGGGTTCTGCTAGCAGGCTAGTTTATTTGAAGAGAATGTACATTTTAGACCAATATAAGTAAGGATTGAACACAGCATGAGCGGGCACCAATATCAGTTTACAGAATTCTAATTATAAGTCTATCAAAGCAAACTTGGTTTGGTTCATTTGATTTCTGCTGTCATTAAAAAGATGAAAATAATTTTACGTGGTGCTGAAAGCATTGACAAATGACAGTTAATGTAACACTAATCAATATTTTTGTCTAAACAATGGACCAAAAACTCACCACAGCAATCATTTTATTGCTTTGGTTTATTCTTACTGCCATTATTAACTTTCCAGCCAAAAAAAAACAAACCCACGAAACCCTCAAATGACAGACACATTTAGAGACTAGTTGGAGAACATGGATAGAACCTTTCCCAGCTTCAGAGCAATCTGTTTTCTCAGGAGATAGTGGAGACCAACATAAGAGCTAAAAGCAGAGAGTTACATTCATCACTTCAATGAAAGCATGAGTCAAAAATAATGATAATGTCAGGGGTCAGAATAAATCTGAGGGGTCACTCGACAATTGATAATATAAAAAAGAAAAAGGAAAAAAATAATTCCCATTTCCACACTGAGGCCATAACCTTTCAAAATAGGTACTAGGTAGACCTTTTAGGGCTCGCAAGCCATCCCACATGCAAAAAACTGTCCATTGAAACGAATTACAAGTTGAGATAAAGATATCTATCCCCAGATGGGAGATGTGGTTGTTGCAGCAGCACAAAGGCATAATAAAAAGGGATAAATAAAGAGAGTACAAATATAAGTATACTTAGAATGCATTCAGGTACATTTTAAGACAGTATTACAAGTTAAACTGACAGTGGTTTGATGAATATTTTCACAATACCACTCAAAGCTAGTGAAAATCCATACTGAAAAAAGAAAAAAACAAGTACTGCATTGTTACATCGTTACACAACGGCAAATCACAGAAATGAAGTAAGTAAAATGAAGGGTTCTCTTGGTGTATTCCACTGAAATATCTCAAATTAAACACAATCAGATAAAACTGAAAATGTGACGAGTGGGGAAAGCAGAATTTTCTGAAATTAGCTGAAAGTCCCAAGCGTCTTCACCTCACAGCGTTCTCTTTAGCACCGGAGGGAATGGCCTCACACACCTCTTCAGAAAACTAATAAGCAACAGCAAGTCTCCGGCGACCTCACACTCTCACCAGGCATCTCTGTAACAGTGTTACTAATCGACAATTTCCTCTCCTCTAGTCAGAAAATGACACAGTTTTGGACAAGAGATGCACATTTGTTTGCAGGATGAAATTGCTGTGGGTTTGCCTCATTTCAGGAAATAATGCATTCTGTTCAAATCCAACCCTTTATATAATTCAGCCTGAGAGACTCCAGTGCTTGAGGGTGGACCTGTGGCTGCTTCAGCTTTACTTTGAGACAAACCTGACCCTGTTCAGTAAGTCATGATCAGAACTTGTGGTGCGTGAAATGACTTGAGCATAACTCATCTGAAGCACTTGTGTGATGCATGCATGTAACTAGAAATACAATTAAAAAAAGAAAAGTTGTCATGACTTGCTGACCAGCTTTACAGGCCCAGGTGACGCCTGTTAACCTGGTATTTGTGAATTATCTGTACAGTAACTGACAATGTGTTGGATGTTCCTGGTCTGTGCTTCTTTCTTTTTGATAATCCTGATGAAAGATGGATCATCCTGTATTAGTAACTACTGTATTTCCAGCAGACTTGAGTCAAAATGTGGTTGAAAACGATCCAAAATAAGAAATTGTGTGTCCCAAAAGCACAAATCCAACCACAATGAAAAAAATAATAATTATATGTTGACCAATGTCTACAGTAGTCTGGTCCATGTTGACTCTTGTTTTGAGTATTTCTTACATGTAAAATGAATGCTTCATTGCAAATGTTTGACAAAATAAAAAACTGGAAATGTAAAGCATGTGTTCTCATTGCATCCATGATGTAAACTCAGATAAAACCATCAGCTGTCAGAGAAATGTAGTCTGCATTTGATATCGTGTGCTGCAGCATCATCTGCTGGCTGACTCCAGTATGTCATAAATACTACAACTTAGATTTCAACAATCAAAATGAATAGAACTTAATTAAAAAAGGCATTTAATAACACATTATCAACCATATTCTCCTTGTGATAATGGACTATTAGATTAATTGACAGTTGTTTTGTTTAGTTTGCCAAAGTTGCTCCAGTTTTCAGTAATTTCAAACATGGATTTAGCTATATTTAATCCTTATGTTTTATGAGGGGTCAAGCCAGCCCGCACGTGATATTGCGGTGCACGAATATTCTATGCATTACGGTAGAGTCCTGGAAAAACTGCCTTCAAAATAAAAGCGCTTACTCGGTCAATAACAAATACACCTAAATAACATAACAAACATATTCAATTAAGAAATATGTACTTTATAATGTGATCAATAATTATTTAAAACAAACTACGTATAACTACCACATTATAAATGAGTGAATGTAAAACTCAAGGAGTTTCAAAATAAAAGACCTTTGAAATCTCTATTGTATGAGCTATCATCCCTCTGTTTTTAGATAAGAATAAAACAAAAACTCTCCAGTATCAAATACTCATTTCACTCCAGGGTGATAATACAATGGTATATATCAGTGTGACGGCCGTCGCCTCCCCGGTCCTGTTGAGTCCGTTTTGCTGTTACATGTGTAAATGAGCTGTGTGGTTGCCCTAACATCATTGGCTACCATTTCCTGGTCTGATTCCGAAGACTCTGATTGGAGCATGCCGGATAAGATAAGACTTTATTCATCCCGAAGGAAATTGTTGTGCCAGAGTAACAAAATACAATAAACACAGCAGCAAAACTGTACACTAAAAGTGCAGCAAAAAGAGCAATTAAATATCCACAGCATGAAACGTAGAAACATAGAAGGTCACAAAATCAATGCAATCATTATTAGCAGTATTTAGTAGTGCAAAAATTAAAACGTAGTGGCAGTTACGTAATTGCACCTTATCATAGCATTATTAATAATACTAATAATATAATATTGCAGTTATATATATAGCAGCGAGTGTATTGCAATGATGTTAATTATATTGATATGTATATTGCACATAGTGTTGGTGTGGAAGTTCTCAGTGCCCTTTACTTAGGGGTGAAGAGTTAAAGAGTTTGATTGCCACTGGGAGGAAAGACCTCCTGTGGCGCTGTGTGGTGGTTATCGGTGATCTCAGTCTGTGGCTGAAAGTGCTCCTGTAGGAAACCAGTGTGGCATGCAGGGGGTGAGACCCGTTGTCCAGAATGCAGAGAAGTTTCCTCAGCATTCTCCCCTCCGACACCACTGCCAACGACTCCTGATCCACTCCCAGGACAGAGCCTGATGAGCTTGTTGAGTCTGTTGGCATCAGCTGTCTTCACCCCGCTGCCCCAACACACTACAGCAAAGAAGATCACACTGGAGACCACCGAGTCATAAAACCGAATCTGAAAACAATTGAAAGAAACTCTTGTGATGGTTGTTTTATTAGTATTTTTATTTACATAAACATTTCAGGGTTTGTTCAGGGTGCTGGGCCTCCCAAAAATAACATTAACAGACAGAACATCAAGATGAGAAAGGAGGTCATCATTTCTTCTCAGGGGCTGCGTCGCCAGCCTCCAGTTTGGGTGCCTCCTCTTTGGGCTCTCTGTATGCCGGGAACGTCTCCCAGGGCGTGTTCAGGTCAAACTTCCTGAACTCCTGCGACAGCTCCACTGGCTCCGCCACCACACGCTTCAGCTCATCGTCATAACGCACCTGCAGAGGGAAACAACGCAACACATTAAAGAGGCAAAGTTGTCGCATTTTTTTTAATTGTATCTAAAAGCAATTTGTCATGCTCATGGATGGTGCATTTCAAGGACTAAAAACTTCAAAAACTCTTGGTGGAAAATATGAAAACAATACTGCATGAGAAGCTTTTCAAGTGGCGACTTCCTGATTAAATGATGAATTTTAAAAACAGGAATGTGAAGGGTACATCGTCTGAAAGAGAGAATTAAACTAGAGGAGTTTGGGTACCGTGTTGAAATGAATAATTCATTCTTTAAAAAGGGAAATGTATTCAGGAAGTATTTAGGCCACGACTTGTTCCTTCTCCGCACAAACTATAAAGGCTTTTCACAGCTTGTGGGAAACCTGAAATAATTATCAAGAGCTGAATGGAAGAAAAAAAATGATGAAAGGATCCAGCCGTTTGGGCACGGTCTACAACATTTATAAATAGAGATGTCCCGATCCGATCACGTGAACGGGGATCGGAGCCGATCACGTGATTTTCAAAAGATCGGAATCGGGAGAAAAAAATCGGGGATCGGGAATTTGTATTAATTTATTTAAAAATATATATATTTTATTTAATGTTACAAAACAAAAATGACCATGTTCACGTCTTAAAGTCATCCTGAGGCCTTAGTTTTGGTTTAAAATGACACATCATGTATGTGTTGCTTCTTTTGGGCTTGTTTTCAGACCTGTTGCTTATTTCTCTCAAATCTGGCAACAGAGTGGGCGCAGTGTCTAATAGTAGCAGTAAGCTAACGAGAGGCTACGTTCAGCTGGTGACTCGGGAGTCGGGACAGAGAAAATGTCAGGAGTTTGGAAGTATTATAAAATTGAAAGCGAAGGCAGTGTAACAGCCAGATGCAATGTTTGCAAGGCGGAGGTTCCGCGTGGTGGAAAGAACAGAGCTACTTTCAACACGACCAATCTAATACGCCACCTGAGAAACAAACAACAACACGACGAGTACACAGCGGCCACTCAGGTAACGGCACAGAAACAACCGACACTTTCAGAGACTTTTAAAAGGAAAGAGAAACTGCCCCAGAACAGTGAAAAGGCCAAAAAATAACAGCCAAGATAGCTGAATTCATCGCGTTGGATGACCAGCCGTTATCTGTTACCTTTTTTTCTCTTAATGCATTGAATAAAGATCGGATCGGGAAAAATCGGTATCGGCAAAATCAAATGATCGGAATCGGATCGGGAGATCCCTATTTATAAATGAGCCGCACATTAAATACGCTGTATGAGAGAGGCGTATTATGCTTTTTGGGGGTTTTCCTTTCCTGTAGTGTTTTATATATGTTAGTGTGCATGTAAATTGTCTGCAAAGGATAAAATCACAAAGTTCTCTCCAGTGTGAGTTCCTCTCACCTTTTTCAACGTTAAAGCATGTAAACATGTCACAGTAGAACCTTAAAACACAAATATGAAAGCTGAAAAGTGTGTTTCTTGCAGGACTCACCTCTACGTATCCGGAGAGAGGGAAGTCCTTCCTGAAGGGGTGACCCTCGAAGCCATAGTCTGTCAAAATACGCCTCAGGTCTGGGTGGTTGGCAAAGAACACGCCATACATGTCCCATACCTGCAGAAAAATAAACATACACATTTAGCAGGTTTGTCCATGACTCTGTGAAGTAAAATAAATGCTGTAATGACCCCTGAGATTGTGACTCACCTCCCTCTCGTACCAGTTGGCAGCCATGTGGACTGAGACTGCAGAGTCCACCGGTGATAACTCATCGCTGTACGTCTTAATGCGGATACGAGAGTTGTAGCGCAGCGACAGCAGGTTGTACACAATCTGAAAACGAGCACACAGGCATACATTATCACTATGAAAACATTTGGAAAGTTTGTTTAGAAGGATGGATACTCGACTAACAGGACAGCTCCTGCCCCCTATTAAAATATTCATTTCATTAATATTAGGGCTGTCAACAATAGAACATGTGTTTGGCAACTTGGTATTAATATTACACATTTTAAATATCACTATTTATAGTGACAAATGCAAAGCCGCAATATTACAGATGAATCTTCAAACACACCACACATTTTTCTTAACATTCTGTGATAGGGCACTCTTTTCATTTTACAACTCACCATTAAGGCATGTCTCTAGGTGTGTGAGTGCGTGCATGTTTGCTGATAGCTACCTCAAAGCGGTTCTGCCGTGATGGTACATCGACAGCTGTCAGGTCGATCATGTTCCTGAACTGGGCGTTGGTGTGGTCCCTCAGGAAGGTCAGCACCGGGATCACCCCATCGGGATGGATCATTACATCCAGCTCATTGAAACAGGTCACCTACACAAACAAACGCATTACGCTACCTGCACCTTTCTGAAATTGGATTATAGACATTTCAATTATACAGGAATACAATTTAAAAAGCTTTATTTAAAAAAACAGAGTTCAGTAGTAAGGGGTCCAATTAGGTGTTTTTCTTTTTTATAACACCATATGTTTCTTCTACATTGTGCATCACAACGCCTTGTTCATATTTATCAAAGTACTTAAAAAATACAATTACTAATGCAAACTGTACCAAGTCAGACTGACCTGCCTGTTTTAACTATTTACACATCTGTTGTCATGTGGAATGTGTTCAAATACAATAATAGATTTATTTTGTAAGCGCTTTTACAGGTGCTCAAAGTCGCTTTACAGAGATAGTGAAAAGAAAAGAACAAATAAATATAGTCAGACCCGGCGCCAGAACAAATCTAAAGGGAGGGCATATGATTTTCATGGGAGGGCACACAAAACCGTCACGTGCTGCGGGACTGCGGCACAATATATATCAAACAGCAAGGCCAACAGCATTGCGTAAAGACGCACACTTATCGCAAACATACACAAATAAAGGGCAACATAGCAACCACTTTGAAACATTGTGTGCGTGGCAGCACAAACACTGGTAAATCACGAGCAAGGCACACTGGTTACGGATGGCAGCTTCCTCATCGCTGCACTCGGAGAGAAATAGTAGAGACGGAGACGATGAACTGTTTAGCCCGCCTTGGGCATGGTTTACGTGCATCTGGACCCGGTGACGACATTACCTATTGACGCAGCAACCACTGTAAGTTATATTCTTGTTTAATTAGACTTCTC